CAGTGAAATCGGCAAATCGTTGCATCTCCATTAACGATATCAGTGCAGTGAACAAAAGGCCTCTGCTACAAACACATCCCAATGTTTCAGCTGCTCGCGCCACTCGCTTAATGTCAGGAGACTCTCGCTCTGCGCAGCCTTCAACTGCAGCTCGTGCTGTACTGAACAGACGCACGTCACTTCATCATTATAGCGCACGCTTTTCGGTATGTGTGCGTGTGTGTGTGTGTGTGTGTGTGTGTGTGTGTGTGTGTGTGAGATTTACTCTGCTGTTCCCGTGCAGGTTGTTGTAGATGATGCGGAAGCGTTTGCGTGTGTAGTTGCATCTGTACGTTCCTCCCATCAGATACTCGATCACCAGACCAACGTCAATCAGTGTGATCTTATAGTTGGGCGGGAGATTCCCCTGCAGAACAGCACAGAGACGTCAGTGCGCACGCACACACACACTCTCACACTCCACTAGGGTTAGTGTTTACCTGTTTGACGTCTCTGACCAGGTGATACAGCGTCGGGTTTGTTGGTGTTTGTTTCTGTCACGATAACAACACACAGATTTAACAAGCATCTGTACATCATGTGTGTGTATCTATGTGTGCATGTCTATGTCTGTATATGTTGTGTTTACATAGTGTGTGTTGTGTTTATAAAAGTGTGTGTATATTGTGTGCATATGTATGTGCGTTATGTTTGAATAATGTGTGTATGAGCATTTGTTGCATTTGTTTACCGTGTGTGTGTGTGTGTGTGTGTGTGTATATATGAGCAAATGTTGTGTTTGCATAGTGTGTGTGAGTGTGTGAGTGTGTGTGTATGTATATGAGCAAATGTTGTGATTGTAAATGTGTGCATGTAGCATTTATATGGTGGGTGTGTAAGTGTGTGTATGTGTGTGTGTGTGCGTGTGTGTGTGTGTGTGTACCGCGTTGTAGAGCTCCTCCAGGCGTGTGATGGTCAGGAATCTGTGCATGCTGACGCCGTTCTCTATCAGCAGTTTGACGAACTCCACACGGTCCATCACTAATGCGTCCAGCATAGCCTGCTCTAGAGAACCCACACACACACACACACACACACACACACACACACATTTATATACAGAGAGAGAGAGATCTGCACTGAACTGTACAGTATGGCAAAAACCAAGGTTGTGGGTTCAGTTCCAGTCAAAGCAAGCACTGATAAAGAGTGTGTGTGTGTGTGTGTGTGTGTGTGTGTGTGTGTGTGTGTGTGTGTGTGTGTTGTTTTGGATCAGAGCGTCCGCTGAGTGTCGTTCTGAGAACAGATCAGTGTTCTGTGTCTATATTATGATCGTCAGCGCGGCTCAAGGCTGTTTGCTGACGATAGTCTTCAAAAGAAACGAGTGTGGAGAGAAAACCATGACGGAGGATGGAGGACCGATGAAG